TTATTTGGAATAGGTTGTCTGGCCTCTCTGCCTAAAAAGCCGGCATACAAAAGAATTAGAAGGCATACTCGGACAACGTCGACGTCATCCATCCGAGTAAAATCATCTTTCTTATTCAACAATCTTGTCAGGTCTTCTACGTGTAGATTCGGCCTCTCCAGCTCAAGAAAAACCCGGGATAGCCATGATGGGCGGGTAATGTGTCAAGTGTACCAAGCTACATCATCGTGTCCGAAGCGTAGACCGGTGATTAAGTAAAACTCCTCCCGCCCAAAACACGTATACGCCGGTGGAAAATCAAACCATATCTCTTCATCACGACGTTGTATAGTCTCTGGTAGATCGCTAGTTATGGTTTGAAGAAACAGGTGTGTCAACATCGCATCTCCACCAGGATGTTGTACTTTCAGCCATGGCCCGAAGCATGTATCCTCAAACATTTTCCTTTGTGCAGGTGAAAGCTTCGACGCAATTGTTTTGGCCAGGCTGACTTTATTTCTTAAGGTCAATTGAGCCGAATAAAAGTTCTACAAAAGCAATAAACATACTAAGTTAAATATACCAAAAACTACACTGTGAAGATATACCAAAAACAATAATAAACATAAAGAGTAGTAGTTTATTCTTCAAACTTAAATTTGCAACACTGTGAATTTTGTATTTGTCTTTGTTTTTTGGTTGAAGTAATGCAATTCATTCAAGTTTCAATTTGCATAAGAAGAATAGTTTCTGAAAATGAAAATCGCAACACGAAAATGACTATCGCAACGCGAATTTGACTATCGCAACGCGAAACTAAAATCGCGTTGCGATTTGCATTTCGCGTTGCGATTCTCGGTTGATTTAATAAGCAATCTAAGTGAAATGGTTAATCTATTATTGAAATTACCATTAAACTTATCATCAATTTCAATATGAAAAACCTAATAATAATGCAAAAATTTCAAAAAGAAAATAATTAAAAAAACTAACCCTCGTTGGTTGATTTGGTTGATTTTCCATTTCTGAATGTGAGGGTGGCTCTGAGAGATGGAGATAGATGGATTTCTCCGGAGATGGGGACGGATTTCGTCGGAGATGGGTGAGAGAGTGAGAGATGGAGATGGGACTGAGTTGTGATTTTAGGTTTTAGGTTATGAGTTGCGATTACGGGATATACTGTGGACGGTTCAGTGTTCCAATATATTAATATTCGTGTTTGGAATTTAAAAATAAAATACTTGGCCAGGATACTAATGGCGCTTTGAAAATCACATTGCGATTATGTATTATCGCGTTGCGAAAGTCAGAATCGCGTTGCGAAAGTCAGTATCTCGTTGCAATTTTGTATTATCGCATTGCGATAGTAAGTATCGCATTGCGATAGTCAGTATCGCATTGCGATTTTCCCAATTCGCGTTGCGATTTACTTATTCACATTGCGAATTGAGAAAATCGCAACGACACTGTAGACCATCGCAACGCGATTTTCGACTATCGCAACGCGAAATGCAACGCGAATTTGCGATAATGGAGATCGCGTTGCGAATTAGCGATCGCATTGCGATTTTGTTGGTCATTTTGGCAAATCCGGAAAAAGTTGGTTAAAATCGTATATTATATGAGATTTTTGGTCACTGAGATTATTTTCTCTTTTTTAAAAGTATGAGACCACTAAATTAAAATTGATAGAAATAATCGTGATTGAAAATGTTGTCAAAAAATATAATATTTTAAGTTAAAAAAAATTTAAAATGTTTTGTTTTTCATAATATTTACGGTTAAACTTAAAATGTTATCTTGTATTTAAAATATTATAAAAATTAATATTTTAGATTGTATTAAACTTAAATATTATACTTTTTAATCATATTTATATTATGTTTATTTCTTTTATTTTTTAATCTTAAATTAGATTTGTTTAGAGTATATCTTTATAATCAGAGGAGCTGACTCAGAAACTATTACATCTAAATTTTGCTCATTTTTTAAATGGTTTTTTTAATTGAATGATTAGAATCAAGATATATATATTGGCTCGTATTCTTTTCTTTCTTTTTATTTTAATCTTTGAAATCATTGGTATTTTTTTTCTCATTTTGGCCATCGACATTAATGCCATTAGTAACTATAAATCATTTTAGAGTCTCAAAAATTATTTTCACTGGATAGAAGATAATTGATAAATGATAAAAAATTGATTTTAGACGATTGATTAAATTTTTATTTTATTTTTATTTTTTGGAATATTTTGATTATAGCATTTTATTTTAGAATAAAAGGACTCATCTTAGATTACATATAGAAGTTGTTAGTCAACAAACAATTAACGCTCTAAAATAATAGCATTTTTATCTTAAAATGTATTTGGAGCTAAAAATATTAAAAAAACTAAAGTAACTATTTAGTCAAATATTATAATTTTTTGTCCTAAAAATAAAATATTATGGGTCAAATTATTATAAATAATAATAATAAAAATGATTATTTAATCAAACATCATAGATATTTTTTATGTTATGTCAAAATAATTTTAACAAAGTCATCGATAGTTAAAATGAATTTGTAATTATTATTCAAAATAATTTATTTATAATTGGATTTTCAAAGATCTAATATTTTTTTTATATATTATTGTGTTTTCTTAAATAGACTAATTTAATTCTCGTATTTAACGGTAATTAATATTTTTTTCAAATTAAATCAAATTAATAATTTTATCGTTGAACCATCTATCTAAAACTATAATAACTTCAAATTTTATATGTAAAAGATTAAAAGAAATCATCCGTTTAAATTTTTATATTTAGTAATAATTAAATTATCTTTTTCATAAAAATAAAAGGTGAAATATATAACAAATGAATTATTTAAATAATATCCCCAAAAATCTCATTGTGCATTTCGATAAAAAAAAATAGTGAGCTGGTCAAGCCCAGCAGGGGGCATCTTCCAAACGCGGCGGTCTGGAAATGTAAATTACAATGTTACCCTTGGAAAAAGGATGGCCAATACTGGACAAGGGGTAGTTTGGGTAGATAAAAGAGAGATTTTCACTAATTAGAAATATAAGCGGCGTTGTTAATGATAACTAATGGGATAGTATTAATGAGTATGACCAAAGAGTCCCAAGCTCTTGCCTTTTTCTGTAATTGACTGCTGCCGGAGATGGTTTTATGATTTGACCAAACTCTTGTTCGATTTATTTTCATGTTTATCTCGTTGTTTGATTGATGTATCACTTGCATTCAATTTGTTATTAAACGACGGTCAATACGTACATACCAAATTAATGTATCTGTTTAAATTTGAATTCTCGATTCATGAAAACCTAAATTTATTAATTATTTTTTTAAATCCATTCATTGAATCATTACAAATAAAAGGATATAAATCTCAAAATAACAATTGGATAAATGAAAATATAAATATTTTACTATAAGTTAAGTTATATTAGACAAATATTTGTTGATATAAGATAATAATTGGTCGGACGAAACATAAAATATATTAATTCAACAATTTTTATCATTAAAAGACATTAATTATCCTATTAAAATAAATATTTTAATGATTCTGTATCTTTTATTCGAGTTTAGCTGGTTAAAGTTTTTTATTCTTTTACTTGTATATGATCAGCGTGTGATCTTAAGTGTCTAGTTTCTTACGTCAATTATTATAGAAATATGTTTTTATTATATGTTTGGTTTACTATTGTAATTGTAAACCTTCGTTGTAATCTATATATTTTTATATTTTTAATAAAACTAGTTGTTTTTGTCTTGTAAAAAAACATAAGCATTTTGATGCATAAAATCTGATAAGTCGTTTAAATTCCTTTTAAACACTCGTAAAAATTTAATATTTAGGATAAAGTATACAAATGGTTTGGGCTGTAAACGAATCAAGTCGAGTTCGAGTATTGTTAAGCTCGACTCGAATACTTTAAAATGGAGCTCAACTCGAGTTGGAAACCCGCGTGTAAACAATTTTCAAGCTCAACTCTAACTCAAAACCATGAATTGAAGCTCGTAAAAGCTCGAAATAAAAAAAAATCTTAAACTTGGTTAAAGCTCAAACTCGAACCTGTACAAAATAACGTCATATAGTCAGATGATCATTTTGTAAAAATTAATAGTTGAGGGATTCAATAAAATTGTCTTACAGTCGAGGGACCATTTGTATAATATTTTCCTAATATTTATCAGTTTTATCAAGTAATACATAAACAAAAAGATTAGTTAAAAAATATTTCAGTTGGATTGAAAGAAGGAATCTACATGAACGTATATTACATTCTTACATTTAAAAAATCATTATAATCTAATTACATTAAAATTAGAGACAATTGGAAAATTTAAAAAATAGTAAGAAATAACAAATAATGGAAAATATCGACATGTTTGGAGAATGAGAGAGTGATGATTATATATGAAGGTGAGTAAGCCAGAAAGTGGTGAAGCCGACCGACCCCTATCTATAATTATATTATTTATGGTATGAATGTGTAAATTAAAAGTTGAAATGATTATTAAGAATCTTGGCATAGTGAAAGTTGATGACAACCGCGGTTTTATTATACATCAGATAATTGAAAGTTTAATATTTATTTTTTAAAAAGACTGTACCGCAGAGCCAGGGAATCAAAACTCCACTAACGGAAGCTGGCAGCCTCTTTCGTATTACGACTGTTAGGGGTACCCGAGTTTTAAATATATATAAAACAATTTAATTAAAATTATTCATTACTAATTTTTATAGAATAAAATTATTACAAAATCAACATAATTATACCAAATAAGTATTCGAAAAAATAAATAAAAAGAAACAAAGGAGAGAGGGACGATTTTTATTCCATCACCTCCTCATCATTATCACACTAGTCAACACGTGTCTCTACCGGCGCTAACCAGTTACCGGTTGTTCATTACCTATATAGGCCCCACCACCACCATCGCCGCCGCCCTCTCCTCCTAATCACCACCACCCTATATTTCTTATATAATTCGTCTCCGTAAACAAACAAAACGTAAAAACGAAAAATAAATAAATTTGTTTCATCAAATAAAATTTCAAATGTTTATTTACTTTGTTTGTTTGGGGAGAGAGAAAAGGGAAGGGAGAGAACAAGTTTTAAGATAGATAAAGGGGACATTTTTAGATTTTGCTTGCAAAGCCAAAATCAAAGCTCCCTCGTTCTGATTTGCAGACTAAATCCAAAGGACAAATAAACAGCCTATAGAGAGAGAAAAAACTAAACGAAGAAACTAGATAACGCGAAGAACAGCAACAGCAAATCAAAGGAACAACAAGTGGGGAAAAAAACCGAGAGAATGAGATAGTGAATTTTTTTTGACGAAAAGAGGTTCATTTCAATTATTTTTTCCTTGTGAATTTTCCCTTATCCAATCAGTAAGTTCCTCGCAACATTGGTGTTATTATTATTCCTTTTTCATTTTCATAATCAGTCACTTATTTGCTTTTGTTGTTATTCATTTTTATGTTTCTATTATATTTACCGCTTTGTGTTTATCTACTGATTAATGTGATGAAATTGTAAACAGATCTGATTAGCTATTTTCTTTTTCTCTTCGTTTGAATCTGTCTGTTATTTTGTTCTTGTTTGTGTTCAATGAAATTCTGGGATCTGTACTTATATTTCTTCACCTCTGTTTGATCGTGAATTCGGTTTTTTTAACTAAATTTGCATACGTTAATTATTGTTTTTGACTTTTTTTTCCATAAACGAGCATAGACAATATTTCTTATAAACCTGAGTTTGGATCTTTAATTTACTGTATTAAATTTCTGTTTGCTTTGTTTTATCGTTTTGAAGTTTATACTGAAACTGTTCTTTTCTTTTTCTTTTTTCTCCCTGTTCTCGAATAGAAAGAATTTGTTCCTCTTGACATCGTTTATTTCGGGGGAGGACAATAGAACTTGTGGTCGTTACAGTGATTTGAAAATTCCCATTGTTGTTTTGGGGATTTTCCCGTCCGAGGTAGGGAGGGGGCAAAAGAGTCATGTTGGAGAACCGGTCCTGCAAGTCCTGTTTAGTGTTTGCCAGTTCTTGTCAACGAGGAAGAAAGCGGGCTTACATGTACCATGGAAAGCGCCCAAGAGAATTCACCGATTCCGATGGTTGTCCGGAAACCAAGTTGTCTAAGGTTTCTTCCGATGATTCCTCCAGTGACGATAATAATAATAACACTTCTTCCCCACAAGACTCAGATGACCTTGTCTTGCCAGATTCGCCTGACCAATCCGATGATGATGGTAAGAGATCCAGTTCTTCTTCGGATATGGATTCTTCACTTATCCACCACAGCCCCATTGGTCTAGGCAAATCGGATTTGGATAACCAATCAGACAATGAAAGCCTGTCAGATTCCGTGGAAGAGTCGCTGGTGGAGCAATCTGAGGAAGATGGTGGTAATGATAATAATGGCATCTCTGATTCTCCAAAGGAGGATTGTCACCACAGACATGGTGGGAATTCACCATCTGACTTGGATGCATTAATCCAACCAATTGGGCGAGATAATGATAATGACTTCTCTGATTCTCCGGAGGATGGTCACCACAGACATACTGGGGATTCTTCATCCGACTTGGATGCATTAATCCAACCAATTGGGAGAGATAACTCAATCAGTTGTCTGATTAAGTGCTCGAGGTCTGATTATGGTTCCATTGCCATGTTGAATCGAAGTTTTCGTTCCTTAATCAGGAGTGGAGAGATCTATAAGTTGAGGAGACAGAATGGTGTTGTTGAGCATTGGGTTTACTTTTCTTGTCACCTCCTTCAATGGGAAGCATTTGATCCTATTAGACATAGGTGGATGCATTTGCCAAGGATGCCTCCCAATGAAATTGAATGTTTCATTTTTTCAGATAAGGAATCACTGGCTGTGGGAACTGAGTTACTCGTCTTTGAGACTTCTCAGGTTATATATAGATATAGTATTTTAACAAATTCATGGACTTTTGGGACCAGTATGAATGCTCCAAGGTGCTTGTTTGGATCAGCTAGTCTTGGAGAGATTGCAATTTTAGCTGGTGGTTTTGATTCTCAGGGTAATATCCTGAGCTCTGCAGAAATGTACAATTCTGAGACTCAGAAATGGGAGACTTTGCCAAGCATGAATAAGCCAAGGAGGATGTGTAGCGGGGTATTTATGGATAAGAAATTTTATGTGATCGGAGGAATTGGTGGGAAGGATGCACAGGTTCTCACTTGTGGCGAGGAGTATGATTTAGAGACAAAAAAGTGGACTGAAATTCCTAACATGTCTCCTGGAAGGAGTAGAGTTGAGGCAGATATGCCTGCAGCAGCTGTGGCACCCCCTCTGGTTGCAGTAGTTAATAATGAACTGTATGCTGCTGATCATGCTGACATGGAGGTTAAGAAGTATGATAAGGAAGCAAACTCATGGTTGACTATCGGAAGATTGCCTGAAAGGGCAGTATCAATGAACGGTTGGGGTCTTGCTTTCAGAGCATGTGGAGATCGCCTTATAGTGATTGGTGGACCTAGGGCTTTGGGTGAAGGTTTTATTGAGCTCAATTCTTGGGTTCCGAGCGAAGGGCCTCCAGAATGGAACTTGCTTGCCAGAAAGCAATTGGGTAACTTTGTGTATAATTGTGCTGTGATGGGATGCTAAGAGATGGATTGTGGTGGCATCTTGTGCAGTTGAACGGTATTGCACTGCCACCAGGGTCTGCATGGTTGCTTTTTTCTTCAACACAGAACTCCGAATTTTTACTATTGGTAATTTCCCCTTGTTTTTTACATCTTTTCCCTTTTGACCGGGAGACGATGGGGAAGAGTTTCAGATAACTCAAGATTCAATAGAACGCCTTATTGATAGGATGTCTTGAGTTTTTATTCCGTTTCCAAACCTCATTCAAAATTTCTTCCATTAAATTTGTGTCTTCAGTGACATGAGAACTTGCGGAGGCTGGCGTCATGTAGCACAGGAGTATGTTTAATAATTTGAAGTATCAACACATTGGTAGGTTGCCATTAGAGTTTGCTGAAGTTTTTTTAAGAACACAGAACTGGTCATACGGGTTCCTTCTTTAAATTTTCTCGGAATTGTCTTCAAGGGAGGAAATAAGTTCTGGAGGTGGTTATCTTTAGATGTTGGCTGATGTACTGATTACATTGATCATTACAATTCATGAACTGTATACTCCCAGAATTTTTCTTATGTACACTCTGGAATCCTTTATTGTTTTTAGTTTCTTTTGTTCAGTTGGATGGTGCCTGTTTCTCCATTTGCTCAACTTGCCAATTCATAAGTGATTCTTTTCGTGCAATTTTGTGGTTTTGTTGATGCCTCATAAAAGTAGTTGGGAACTAGTTTGGTGACAAGTGTAGTTTTAACCCTGTGTGAGACAGGAGGATGGATTACGTGGCATTTAATAGTCGTGAATCCCTGGTGCCAATGGTAACCTGCATTGAGTGTACTCATGATGGATATTTATCGACCATATTGAAATTAGACGAGTCCCTCGGGTAAGTTTGACCTAAGAGCTTACCCTACAAAATGTGGGCTCAAATCTTTCATTGCATCATGATGATGAAACCATCGTCCTCAAGGGTGTTAGGCCTACCATTATTATGTTTTCTCAGTTTCTGGTAAAGAACAATAAAATTTTGCTGTGAATGAAAGCGGTTGAAAAAGCTGATCCGGTCTGATTAAAAAACATGGAAAACAAAATGTTCGTCTTCTTGTGGTTTAGCAACGCACGTGTTTTGATACGATTGTACAGTCGTGGAATACTGTAAATCAGAATTAGGTGAAATGGGCTGAGAAATGTGTTTTACAAGCCATATTGAGTTGGGGGCACAAAGCCCGTATAGTTTCCTTCCAAAACACAAATGTCTTCTTCCCTTTAAAACTTCAAAGAAGCAGCATCTATCTCCATCAACCTTGTCAGGTGTGGGACTATTATCTCCTGAAAATCTAAAACGGCCAATGGTTGCGAGAATATAAGAATTGCAAATTGAGGTTTTGTTGAGTGCATTTTGGTGGGCCTAAGGCATGAAGTGCCAGCTAAAGGATTACTGAGTGGTGGTGGAGGATTGAATTATTCCCCTTTAACCATAATGGGATATCAATTATATTATATCCAAATGTCCTTCCACTAATTGCAATAATATTATAAAACAAGAAATGCATTCAAGACTTCATGTCGCCTTCTCTCGACCTACCTTTCAAGCTATTTACTTTCACTCCCCGTATTTTTAGACAACAAATATAATATCGATTATTGATCTCTTTTAATCTTGTAGATCAATAAAAAAAATTAATGAATTTTACAAACTATAAATTGGTTCTTTTCCTTGTACGCAGATTAGACAATTTAGAGGTGAGGATCGAGTGTTTGTAGCCATGTGTACGATACTCGTACATGACTAGTTTTTGTAACACTCCCAACTCGTACCCAACTCAGATATAAATCCGGTGTATCACATTAACTTTCCAAAACTTTTACTCTTTAAAAGCACATATAAAATTCAAACACTTAATATATTTGAGTGGTAAAACATTTATAAAAAAATTCTATTAAAATTCATAATGGAATTAAAACATTCGATAATTTACATAGATATAAATTTGTATGAATACAAAACGGATCAGATCATTACAATTTAAAATTTTATAATACATGCCAACAAAAATCACAAAATAAGAAACTTACATTCCAATTGTTCTGATATGTTCCTCTTCGATAGTATGTTGTCCTCTCCTAGCTTTAGTCCTCAAATTTCTTTGAAACTACGCGTGAAACATCCACACGCGAAGTTGTTGACTTAGTGAGACAAGTACGAAAACATTTCATAAGAAATTCAATTTACATTTCATAAGAAATTCAATGTATACTTTTATACATTGTTCAGTTTATATCACTTTGTTTTTAATAGCTCAATACATATTACTGAGAAGGTTGTGCACTAATGCAGTCACCATTGCTCACATAATTTGCACCGAAGTGCGACATATTTGTTCTGAATGACCACATAGGTTTGTCCCGAAGGACCACATAGGTTTGTTCCGAAGGACCACATAGAACCCTCGACTCTTGACATGCCAACTATACCTCTAATTCTCATACATATACCTTGGGCTTTAACCACATATTTATTTCTCATTTCATTATTCAAAATGTGTCTTATTCTCATAGAGTACATTCACATAAGCAATTACACATCGATCGTTTTCATTTATCACATTTTAACATTAAACATTTTCATATAAAACGAAACCATATACATATAAAATCAAAAACAATATATTGAAAATACACTTTATCTAAAACATAATAAAAATAATTGTTTCGATCAAAAACTTCGAGGTTGGCTTATCGCAAGCCGTCCTCATATCTTAATATAAAAATATAATTTGCACTCACCTTTGCCTCACGTAAGTTCTAAACGAATACTTTTTAACTATCGATAAATCTCTTTGTTATATCGCTTTTCTCGGTACGATTCCGATCCAAATCTACACATAGATATATCCAACATTAATAACGAATTTCCATTAATGGTTCATCAATTAGTAATTACATAAACGGAATAACAACTCCTAATTAAAATTTCAGACTGAACAATATCAATACCACTCCTACAGTACTGATACTTCTCTTCTATGGTACCGATACCCACTTCAGTATCGATACCATTTTAGCATTCTGGAATTCCATTTTCAATTACAATATCGATACTTTCCTCTTGTTATCGATACCTCCACATCAGTATCGATACTTTCCTCTTGTTATCGATACCTCCACATCAGTATCGATACTTCTTAAATCAGTATCGATATTGATCATCCGATTCATCTCTTTTCCAACAAATTACCTTTATAGTATCGGTACTGTTCTTCCAGTACCGATACCCTTACCCATAATTCATATTTTTCACTTTGAATTTTTCCAAAATTTCACCAAAATCTCATACTTTTAACTCCAAGTAAACCCTTAAACTTTTTAGCACTTATACCACACAACTTATGTCCATTAATCCTCTTATAACATCTAAATTTCTCCATAGAACACTTAGAACTAAAAATCACACCAAATATTCAAACATGTTCTTAATCATTTCTAATACTTCTAACTTCTTAATTAAACTCTTGACAAGTCAATTATGTCATTAGAAATCCAAATACTACTCAATCTCATCAAATCCCTTAACAACCCATTTTACTAATCCATTAATAATTCACTAATCCATTAATAATTCACTAATCTCTTAATTTTATTCAACCTTAGGCTTCTATATCACTTAAATCTTCAAAACCAAACCAAAATTTGAAGAAACAACCAATTTGAAATTAACTTACCTTAACAATGGAATTCACGGGAAGAGAAGGAGAAGAACCAAGCTTCCAGATATTTCTTTTCCCTCTCTCTCCCCTTTTCCCCACATGTTTTATCTCTTAAAAATGAATTTTAAATTCATTTTCTACTAAGAGACCTCTTTGCCCTTCCATTATTCCATATTTTACAATAAGTCTCAAACACAAATTTCTAAAATTAGTCCTTGAACTTTTCAATTTATTCCAATTAAACCACTAAATTTTAAATTCTTACATTTTAGTCATTGCCCGATGTTTGGGGTATTACAGTTTTGATTCGATTTGATTTTATTAGATTATTTTTTATATTAAAAAAACCGAATATAAGTTGGTTTGGGTCATACTTTTTGAAATATAAAACTTGATCGAGTTTGGATTTAAAATAAAATCTTTAAGCTAGTCCGATTCAGGAAAATAGAAAGATTATCTCTTATAAATCTAGATATATTTAAAATAATATCATTCTTTATATTTCTTTTTAATTAGATTTCCGTTGTAGCTAATAAAAATATAATATATATTTATGTGGGATCAAATCATGTGAATGTGCAGATTTTTATCTTCAAAGTCAAATTAGGTGGATTTTCCTTAAATACAAGTCACGTAGAATGGCAGATGAAAGGACATAATATTCGGATCAGATACGAAATGGCTAAAAACTCGACTCAACTAACCTATATCCATCTTTTAAGTGCTTGTTAGGGTTTGAACTTAATACTTTGATGCTTCACCGTTGTTTTCTTTTAATTATGTGCAATCCTTCTAAAGGTGTAGAATCGATCTACAAGACTACAACTCCTAGTGGTTTTTCAAATCAATGGGGTAAAAAAACACTGTTCCTCATTTAAAAAAACCCTTAGCCCACAAGCTTTTGGAAAATTGGCGTGTGCTTTCCTCCAAAGTTTTGAAGGACAACAAAATGGTTCCATTTTTCTCATTTTAGCAATAATTATGTGCCGAGAACAATCTTTTTTACGGTTACATCAATGATGTGTCTAAACTCCTTTTCTTATTCGATTTGATATTGTATACAGATTTTTTTTTTATTTTGTAGGTTTTATTTATAACTTTAAATATATAATTTTCTTAAAATAAATTTATAAAAATAACGAGTTAAAAATTAATAAAATAATTTGAAAAATTAAATATATAAATAACTATCACGGTCCACAATCAAGGATAAACATCACTAGTACTAGAGACGAATGTAATATTTTATGTTAGGAATGAACTTTTAAAATTTTACAAAATACGAACTTATAAAATTTTAGAGTGGAAATATATTATCAATTGAAAATACAAATGAGATATTTAAAATATAAGTTAATTTGAAATTTTCAGGGAGCAGATGGAGCCCGTCCATTGACAAGTATAGTTTATGATGTGTCACAGTACCTCAAAATTTAGGGGGTCATACTTCAAAAAAATATTTTTTTCATGATAAAATTTAACAAAAAAATCTTCTAATTTTATCTCTTATTATCTCAAGAATTCAATTGAATTTAATTTTTTCTAAAAATTCATCAAAGTTTTGGTGTTTAATGGGAAAAAATTATTGTTTATATCAATCCTAGTTTCAATCTTCTTAAATTTTGATATTTGACCATTTCATTTTATTATAAAATATTTTAAAGGCATCATTTTAGAAAAATAACACAAGACTTACATATCTTGTGGGATGGGTCTAATAACAATATAATGTTGGTGACAGATCTATAAATATTTTTTAGTTATGACACACACACACACACGCACGCACGCACGCACGCGCACGCACGCACGCACGCACGCGCGCACACACACACACACACACATATCAGCCACATAAAATTTTTGTAACACACACACACACACATATCAGCCACATAAAATTTTTGTATGGGAT